AGAGCCAATGTCCCCCCTGAAGATACTCCAATGGGAATGATTATGAAAGCGGTTAGCGAGTCAGAGTCAAATAGCTTTGGTGTTCTTGTGAATAGCTTCTACGAGCTGGAACCGGCTTATGCTGATTTTTACCGTAGTGTTGGGGCGAAAAGAGCTTGGCATATCGGTCCGCTTTCGCTGTTCAACAGAGAGTTTGCGGAGAAAGCCCAAAGAGGTAAAAAAGGGGTCATTGATGAGCAGGAATGCCTCAAATGGCTCGAGTCTAAGACACCCGGTTCAGTGATTTACGTGTCGTTTGGCAGTGGAGCTAAATTTACCAATGAACAGATGCTTGAAATTGCTGCCGGCCTTGAAGGCTCTCAACAAAACTTCATTTGGGTTGTTAAGAAAAATGAAAAGCAAGGTAATGAGTTCATTTTTACTCGTCTTTGTATTTTTCCTTTATAAGACACTTGTGACAGAACTAATATTACATGATGTGGTTCCGGCCTCGGTAAATTGAAATGAACTTGGTTTTGGTGTGGTTGTTGGGACAGGGGAAAAGGAAGACTGGTTGCCTGAAGGGTATGAAGAGAGAACGAAAGGGGAAGGGCTGATAATACGCGGATGGGCACCACAAATGCTGATACTAGAGCACAAAGCCGTTGGAGGATTTGTGACGCATTGCGGATGGAACTCGGCTTTGGAGGGCATATCTATGGGGCTACCGATGGTGACTTGGCCGAGGGGCGCGGAACAGTTCTACAACGAGAAGCTATTGACACAAGTGTTGAGGATAGGAGTGAATGTAGGAGCTACGGAGTTGGTGAAAAAAGGAAAGTTGATAAGTAGAGAGGAAGTGGCGAAGGCAGTGAGAGAAGTGATTGATGGGGAAGAGGCAGAGGAAAGGCGGGAACGGGCTAAGAAACTAGGCGAGATGGCTAAAGCCGCTGTGGAGGAAGGAGGGTCTTCTTATAATGATTTGAGCAGGTTCATGGAAGAGCTTAAATGCTATAAAGTCGAAAAAGTCGAAGAAGAAGACACAACATGTTTCACGTTGTGGAATGCATTTCTTGTCATTGTTAACAAACTTTTCACAATACAGTAAGCAAATGTAATAAACAATGCCGTGTGATGTACGGAAAGAATGTATGTATTATGTAATCACAGTGATTGCATAATTACTTGCAAAATGAATCTATGACATCAATCTCCGGCAAGCATAGTCGAACAAGGTCTGGAGTCTGCCTTTAGGCGCTGTTTCATTCGGTAGTTTCAGAAGCCTAGAAACCCGAGAGAAACCAATATCATGTTTCATCAAAGCACTAGGCTCTGGTTCTTGTTCTTGTTCTTGTTCTTGCTCAAGACCAAGTTGTTTCTGTTTTTGACTGGTTTTAGTCAGTGCCCATTGCATAGCCCATATAGCAAGAGGACGCATGTAAGTCAGAGATCTATACTGATCATTCGTGTTCCATGCTTCAGGCGTCTGAAATGAGTAACTGTTTCAACGCATTCAAACAGTATCAGAACACATGGAGAATCATAGATTGAGAGAGAGAGCTATATCACATAAACCTTACCCGAGTCCGGTCTGAGACCAGGCAGCTTCGTAGACGCCACTCGCTGTCTGAAACGCCATATCAACTAAGCCTTCTTGGATCATTGTTGCAGACAACGCATACGTAACACCAGACCAAATCTCTCGTGACTGCATTGATGCTGTATCAACTCTCCCATCAGGATGCATGCCATTTACAGCTCCACGTTTCCCTTCTTTAATCTTCATCACATTGAAGTTATAAACTTTCTCCAAAGCCGTTTTAGCCTTCTCTTCATCTACTATAGGCAAAAGCCCTGATGCTCTCGCGTACCTACAAATTGTATATATCATCATTACCCTAAATCCTTAACACATTCTTCTTAGAGAAAAGAGAGGGTAACGAACCATTGACCAGCTAGTTGATCAGCTTGTATAGACGAGCTATACCGGCTTCCACTATCATCATAGTTAAAGTAAGATCCATTCCATAGCTTCTTCTCATACACATCTTTTGCTCTCTGAAACTTCAACCAGAAATAGTCTTGAGAGTTCTTGTCACCAACTACACGTGCCAAGGCAGATGCAGCTTGCAATGCAGCCACCCAAAGTCCACCACAGTAGGCGCTTACACCAGTGGCAGACCATGTGTCGTAAGTCTGATCCGGAAACGCTTCGTTCTCGATCATTCCATCGCCATCTTTATCAAACTGAGTCATGTAGGCCATTGCAACGTACACCGAGGGCCAGACCGCTATAGCAAACTTCTTGTCCCCTGTAGCTACTACATCTCTGTACACCTGGAGGACGAACTTAGGGTTTAAATCTTTCCAACGATCAGTGTTGTGAAGATTGTATCCATTAACTTCAAACCAAGGGTCGTTGATGCCTAAATCATGAGGAACTGCACCAAGAACTTTCCTCTGAACCCATTGTCCTTCACTAAGTGTTTTCACTTTGGTTGGATCGTGTAGCATCACCGCAGCAGAAAAGTCTCTTTGGATACTGAGCTCGAGCTTTGGAAACAGCATCACAAGCGCGAAAGAAGCGTAGAAATGGACATCGTAGGTGTTCCACATACGGTATTCGATCCCTTCTAAGTAAAGGAAATGCCCAATGTTCTCTTCTCCTTCTTCTAGTAGCTTTGTGCCAAAGGCAGAGTTTGATGCTGTTGATGCATGAAGCTGCTCAAGCGTAGAAGCCATTTTTCCGAGAACGGAGATAGCTGTATCGTTCTGTTCCGGTTCATCGATGATGTTCTTTAAACCGAGCTGGGATTTGTCAAGTGAGAACTTCTTTTCTCTAACTCCTGCCAAACTATGTAGTGGTGATGATCCATCTGCAGAGTAAAAAGATGGACAAAGATGTCATGCTGAAAGAAAACAGAATCATCTTAAACTGTCCGAAATTTACCTGTCCAAAGAGTTCCTCCTGAATTAAGGTAATAAAGCTCGTTGAACAGAGTGATAGGATACCTACAAACAGCAATCATATATTCAGATCTATGATAAGTTTATGGCCATTGATGTATAAGAAGCAGAACAAAGGCCTCACCATGCAGGAAGTCTTTTGTCTTCAAGGATTGGTCTTTGCCATGCTTCTATCAAAGACTCCCAATGATTATGTCCTGTTCCATATAAGAGTGTCATTTAAGCTTCATTCTGAAGTGAATCAAATAAAAATATACATGTTTAGGATGAATTAGGACTTCACCAAGAATAGCATCATAAGCAATTTGAGCAGCAGCATCACCATGAGTGCCATAAAACTTTGTGTAACGCCTGCATAAGAGTTCCTGTTTAGAAATTATTACTTTACAATTTACAACATTACCATTTCAATTATTACTTTAGAAAAATCTTACCTTAAATATATTTTACCACTAGGAAACTGCACTTCAGGACAGTCCCAAGCCAGAGAAAATGTGACAGTCCGTGACTCTCCCGGTGGGACTGTTGCAGATGCTGCTACTGCTGCCCCGATCGATGACCCGTGTTCTGATTGCATCGATGTCTCAGAAGCATCGAGCTGATCAAAAGAACCGTTCTGTAACAAAGAAATGAAGGATATCAAATATCACATTCAAGAACTATACAATTGTATGCAAGAAGGAGAATATCTCAACCTCTTTGATAGTCTCCCACATATCTTTTGCTGTGATTCCATTCTGCTTTCCAGAAACTATGAAAAAAGGGCAGATTGAGACGCTAACACCGTCCGTGGCTTGAGCTGAAACCGCGTAAGACAGTGATGGTAACCCGTTTGCTGTTCTGTATAAGAGAAGTTATAGCAACAAAGTTGATACTTAAACCACCAAAAACAGATTTTAGTTTCTTGATTAATGCAAAGAATAGGGAAGAGCTTACTTACTTATGGTGTAAGAGCACACCCTTGACTCCATCATTCATCCTATAATGATTTCATCAAGATCAAGTTAGTACAAAAGAAGACCAAGTCTTATTATGAGTACAGAGTTTGAAGTTATTAAACTTTTACATTATCTTGGAGTTGTAATGGCCACCTGAGAACTCTGAGTCTCCTCCAACAGAATTCTGAACCAAAATGAACAAACATTATCATGAATGTGTTGAAAGAAACTGTCAAACAAAAGACGACTGCATTGAAACAAGTATCTCACCGCCCAAGTGAAGAGCAATGTCGCATTTGCAGTAGTGTCTCCGACATTATGCAGCTGATGAATACATGACCAAATTCATCAGTACCATAGTAAGCTCTACATTATCAAAATGCAAACAGAAGGAAAAAAGGAAACTTTACATACTGTGAAAGTGAAAACAGAAACAGGAAAGCTGCTTTCTTTGTAGTTGTGAGGTATAAAAGGTGAAACTTGACGACATACAATTCTTAGCTCTGGATCAGGTTCACCTATATACACCATCAACTTTCAGCCTCAAAATCACATAAGCAGCGATATTTACAAGTGTGAAACTATATATACACATAAGCATATTACCCTCATACATTGTCCAAGACCTTGGATATAAAGCATGATATGTAGACTTGTCTCCTTTCAGATTCCAGTCCCATGAACCAATTCCAGTCTCAGAATCTTGTCTGTTTCGAAAAATATAAACTTTAATCACTGTAAGATAACAAGCAGCAGCGAAGTTATTGAAGAAGCTTTACTTACTTTCCCAGGTTTGTGTGCCTAGGAGATAACACACTCGAGAACTTTTTCCCATTGGGACGTGAAACAAATGCCTGCATCAAAACATATTCAACACCATTTAGCAAATCAAACACTATCTTTTACCAGTTTTCTCTTGAAAAGTCTTGTTATTTGCAACTTACAGAGAACTGATTTGCAAGAACTGGTTCATATTCACATTTTGGAGGGAATAGTTGCCATCTTTGGAACTCACCTTTATAACTCCTTCCTATGCTACCACCACTGCATGTAATCAAAGTTATATAACCAGTAACTTGACAGCATGTAACAATTGTGACATACCAATATGTGATTAAAAGGGAAAACATACCCAATACCTCCAAGAGGAACACCATGTGAAGATGTTATAGAGTGTTTGGAGAATGGATCTATGAAAGCCAACTGCAATTAATACATTCTTTTCAATATGGCTATGCAACAAAATAAGAGAGGATTTATCAAGAACAAGGAAACATTTGTTTACCCTTCCTTTAGCAGATTCTTCTCTAACAAGAAAAAATAATCGAATACCAACAGGGGCCTACATGGACAAAAGAAAAACAAGTCTTTGAGTAACATAGAGAAGTTCTTGTCATCCAAATAATATCTGAAAACGTTCTATCTCCATAGTTACCAGCTGGAAAATCTCTTTAGCAGTGAGACCGAATTCCCGGGGAGCTTTTCCGTCACTGTCTATCTTTCTTTGCCATGTTAAAGATGCAGGTACTGCCGGATCAACCTGGTTTTGATAAGCATGCAAACAAATAATACATCAATATGAAATTTTAAAAGACCTGAATAATAGTAACAGGGCATATGCACTTTTTACAACGATTCTTGGTCAAGAAAACATATGAGCAACATAAAATCTTAAAAGAGCTTACTTTAGTAGCAGAAGAAGAATTGAAAGTATCTTCACCACTATCCATGAACTCTTCCTCAGACATGGTTCCTGAAACAGATAAAAACAAATAACAATTCAACACATTCTTCTGGTTTCTTGTACAAGTGAACAATCCTAACTACTTCTTCATCTCCTCTATTCCGACAGAATTTTCACTTGAAGAGAAATTTTGATTTCCAGTGAGGAGATAAAGGCAATCCATAAAACCTGAAACTGTGAATTTCGTGCATAGACTAAATTTCTTCTACTCCAATAGTGAAAAAAAAAAGGTAAAAAAGCATAGTTCATGGTTACGCATTAAACACAATCAGAAGAATTCTGCATTGCGAATTTGCGATCATTCCTAAGAGACAAATAATAACGAATCAACAATATCTATACGGAATAACGGAGAGTACCGAATTCAATTACTCTAGATTCGAAGCAGGAGACGGATGAGAGATTGAATCGACCAAGTTGATTGGATCGAGAGAAGCCAAAAATCAAATAATAAAAAAT